GGAATATCAAAGTGACTTGGTTTATTGAATAACGCAAAGCATGCTTTTTATGCGTTTTAGATTGTTGGTGAACTGTATTTGGGGCAAGTTAAAGACAAATATCTGCTTGAGGGGCTTTGTTAGAATGGAAATTCTACTGGGCTGATGCCTCTTTTCACTTGCCTTAATGTCAAAAGTGAAAATGAATATGTAAGATAACTGTAACAGTACTTTAATAGAACTATAAACTGTTCATGTACCAATTGATTTATTTTTATCACCCCTCTCTGTTGGTGTTAGTATCGCGTTTGTCACGATGCTGCTATTTGAATGATCTCTTGTGACTATGAGCGGAGATTCTGGAATTATTTAAATAATAAATGTTGCTCAGCATCAGTAGCAGAGGCACGTCAAGCCCAATGTAGTGCTAAACTTAATTTTGCAAGGCACAAACACAGCAGAGTCAAATCGACACACCTCATTTTCTGTTTGAACTAGTAGGAGACATCAGACAGACAAGTTGTAAACAGCTGCTCAGATTTTTATCATTGATATTTCCATCTGATACAGAGTGGATTTAGCAGTTTGGTTGACTTAACTGGTTTCACAAGGCAAAAATTATCAGAACATTCAGCTCACTAAATCAGGGGCATCACACATTTAGTCAACTTTGATGGATGTTTATGTGTTAAGACATACAGAGTGAGCAGTTGCCATGTTCTGCACTGTCTAAGATGGCATCTATGCTGGACCACTCACTGTAGGTGTATTAGGGGAGAATAAATGTGGGGGGAAGGAGAAGAACATGGGAGTTTGAGAGGAGGGAAATGGAGGAAGCAAAATGGAGGTGGTTGATACAATGGTCAGCATTTTTTTTTTTAATTCGTGCATTTGATAGCTAAATAAAAATAATTATATTTAGGACAATAATTATTTTGGTATTTTGATGTAGTGCTTCAATTTATGCTTTTAAATTTATAGTATGAGCATCAGACTTTAAAGTAGGACAGTAGGGCCTTGTCCTAGAATAAATTTCACTGAGTATTAGTGATGTTTTGCTCTTCCCAGTTGGTTATGTCACAACTTAACTGTATAAAGTTCTGTACTTTAGAAATCAAGCTGAGTGCAGTGGTTTAGCTCCCTAGCAAAGGGTGCAGTTATAATGACACAAAAGAAATTTAATGCAATTCATTTTCTGGAATGAGGAGTGTCTGAGTAACTTATTTCGTGTGTGGATGCTGTAGAATGTGCTTGCTGCTTCAAAGTATGTCTCGAGTCAGCTCTCCGACAGTAGGAGCTCACACACACCAAAATGTACCTATGAGGAGCGGCTGAGGACTTTGAGCTCATCTCATTTGGAGAGAAGGAGGCTGAGGGGTGACCTCAGTGCTCTCTGCAGCTTCCTGAGGAGGGGACGTGGGGAGGGAGGTGCTGGTCTCTTCTCCCTGGGATCCAGCGATGGGACGTGTGGGAATGGTTCAAAGCTGCGTCAGGAGAGGTTCAGACTGGACATTGGGAAACGTGTCTTTACCAAGAGGGTGGTCAAACACTGGAACTGGCTTCCCAGAGAGGTGGTCGATGGCCCAGGTCTGTCAGTATTGAAGAGGCGTTTGGACAGTGCCCTTAACAACATGCTTTAACTTTTGGTCAGCCCTGGATTGGTCAGGCAGTTGGACTAGATGATCGTTGTACGTCCCCTCCAACTGAAATTGTCTGTTGTAAAAAGACTAGTGTGTGTGAGAAAGGTGCATGGCATAACTATAAACATGGGAAAACCTCTGGTTTCAATTGGATTGATGGGTTGAATTAAAGGCCTATGAGCCTGTCAGAGGATGTAGCCTGCTTCTTGTTAACTTAACCTGGCATAAAATCCTAACTTGCATTATGAGTTAATTTTTACCTTTCCCCTACCTTTCCTGTGAAAATAAAACTGATTCTTGCAAAAAAACCCGACCCCAAACAAACAAACAAAATGCCAACCAAACACAGGTTCAAACACTTGTGTAAACATGGGGTTGCTGAGTGCTTTCCCTTTGTGCTGCCATAGCTTTCTGCCACTGTGACCTTTCTTTGGAGCCTTTTCTTCTTCCCCCTGCAGTTCGTTATCCTCTACCTTAGCCGTATCCGAGAGCACTAGTTCCTCTCCCCAAATTGCTCTTCCATCCAGCAGTGGGCAGCTCCTAGCCCACTGTCTTCCTTGCCCCATCTCCCAGATTATATTTATGCACTTGCTCTTTTCCCACCACTTCATTTGATTTCTGGCAAGGATTTCATGTCCTATTAGGAACTCCAGAATTTGGACCCTCCTCCAGGGATGGGATCTGTTTAGGACCAATTCAACAATGTCCATTGATTCTCTACCTAGAAAATGGGAGAATTAGTTTGTTGGTAAAGGGATGCTGTTAACTCAGTTTAGGTCTAAAAATAATACACTTCTCTAGAAGTTTGGTGTTAAATCTTTTGACATTTGAAATTTGTTAAGACATTCGGAAAATGGTAGCTGCTTGTGTATTCTGAGTGTTGAAGATGATACAATGTCTGATAACCAATTTACATAACAGTATAATTACATGGTTGGTAAGAGGACAATAATATTTTTTTCTTTCCTCTATAGAGTTAACTTAAAAAATATCATTGCTGGACTTCTGGTTCTCTCTGTTTTCTGCCCATCTCTACTTGCTAGTTTTCAAAAGGTTTTTTGGAGAAACTTGGCTAGACTGAAGAATATTTGTAGTGTACTATAGTGTTGCATTTTCAGGAGTAAAGCAGGTGACCTGGGATAGTTCTTGCAAATATGTGATTGCATTTGCAGACTAAGGTGTGTGCTTGTAATGCGACTGAGTTTTTGAGCAGTTTAGAGGGCATATAGAAGCCAAAAAAGATGATAGTTCGAATCCTAATTTTTCAAGCAGCTCTGCAGAGCAGGGATGGACCCCTCTTCTACTGCATTGTGATTCCATGTTGATAAAGGTGTCTGTTTATATGAAGTTCCCTACTGATGCACTGGTTAATAATTGGGCGTTAGGTGAACTGTGCCTATTTTATTTGGTAGCTGGATGTAGCAACACGCATCTGAACTTTCTAACATGCGTCATTTAGCATTTTCTTTTAAAAATCTCATCTTTTTCCTTCTGTTAGATGATGCTGTATTAACTCTCTATCTCTGGGCTACTTGCAGCTATGGTTTTAGCCTATGCCTTTGGAAAAACTAATTAGCTAAAAGTCATTTGCTTGATAAAGATATAAGGTATAAAAATACTGTCAGCTAAAAATATCATGAAACTTGGATGTTCAGTGAAACATCATATTTGGCAACTTAGAGAAAATTGCTCAAAATCCATTTAGTCTAATTCACACGTCATCGATCACTGTTGTATAGAAAAGGCTTTATGGGGGTTGCGGAGAGCTGGGGGAAATGATGTAGTGCAGTTAGTAAATATGCTGTCAGTGGGACCTTGCCTAGACTTCGGTGTTTCAGACCAACAACAGACATCATTTTAGTGTTAAACTACTGTGATTATAAGGAATATTTCTGATGTCTCTGATAGTTGGTGTGGATGACTACAGCTCAGAGTCTGATGTGATTATTATACCTTCAGCCCTGGACTTTGTCTCACAAGATGAAATGTTGACGCCTTTGGGAAGACTGGACAAGTACGCTGCAAGTGAGAACATTTTTAACAGGTATGCTTTTTAAATGTCCTGTCTGGCTAATGGTATTTGTCTGATTCAAATCTGACTGAAGTTAATTTGCATGAAATACAAATAACTTAAAAAACCCAACAGCTTTATAAAATTTTTTGGTTTCCACTCCTCCTCCTGTTTGCTGATAGTCCTCCTACTTATAGAGAGCAAAATATTAATGATAAAAGAAAAACATTTGCTTACCTTTTAAGCAACTGCAGTTCAGGAATTCTTCAACTCTTTCATTAATTGAACTACATCTTTTTAGTCTTTTGTGGATGCTAACATTCCTGTTAACACAGGACTAGAAGATAATAGTAAATTGTGTCCATAACTCTGTGCGGAAAGTGACTTTAAGAAAATACTTCATGGAATGTCAGGAGAGGATAACGAAGAGCACTGTAGATTGCCAGAGGAACCCAAGAAGTGTTCTGTAGGATGATCCTCCTCTGTAATTTACAGTTTGGGAATTGGTGCTTCTGGCTGTTCAAAAATGAACTTGCCCAGTTAATACTGTGGTCTGCGTTTTCCCCTTTTTGTCTCTGTAATGCCAGTGAGCTAGTTGTTGCATTTAAAAGCACAGGTATTGGAGCATACTTCAGACAGACACACCCCACACCCACCATCCCCTGCACACAGACACTCTGCAATGGAATGGAGAGATTCAAAACCAGCATTTATTTTAATTTTAACTGTAAATGGTTATAAGATCACAGAAATTTATAAAATACATTAAGGTTGAGGTTTTCTGATGTTTTATTTTAACGCAGTTTAGTTTGGGCTCCCAGTGAATATTTAGTAAAGTATATAAAGTATGTTTGCTTTTGTGTTGAATTCTTGATTCAGTAGTATACAGAAGATAAATCTATGATCAATCACCCTGTAGGTTAGACTCTATTTTGTTGTTTGTGGCCCAACTTCTGTAAGGGTTTAGCCCTGTGCTTAACTTCTGTCATGTGCAGTGTACTTAGCATTCCATACTACATGTATGCACATACCCCTGTTCAGAAGGTTTTCATTCTGATTGAACTGAAGCTAGCAATTATAGAACGGCTCATTTTACAATCTGCAGAAATTAGTTTGAAATGTCTGATTTTAAAGTTTTCTGTTTTCCTGAAATCTGAAGTTTGTTGTAAGTTACAATTTGAGATGAAATCAGCAATTTGCCAACCAGGAGAGAGTTTTTGTGTGTTTGACTTTTCATGGGGAGGGAGGGAAGAGGAGCCTTTTAAGGCTACAGGTGACAATTATGTAATAAAAGACAGTAGGGAGGAGAACAAACTCAGAAACTCAAGTTGTGTGACTTGAATTTTAAACAAGAATAGTGATCTTTACATGTTACTTGCCCATTTCAGAAAAAACTGTCTCTCTGAGTCTCTCAGTATGGATTGCATGGGGTGTGGGGCATGCATAAGCTTGAAATGTTTTTGATGATGCTGTCCAGCTCTATGCATCCTGTGCTTGCCTGTGCTTTTCTGCAGGAGAAGATGGGTGGAGTGACTGTAGTTTTCCCTGGTTTTGTCTTTGTGTGTTTGGGTGTTTTTTTTGCTGGTATAAACATGTTTAATCCTAGCTCTAATTGTAGGCCTACTGTGTTATGTAGCATAAGAAAATATAGGAAATAGCGTATGATAGCCATTAGTGATATGAGTGTGACTAGCAGTTATATCACTGTAAGTGATCGTGAGTGACTGTTGCAGGCAGTTTATGATGGTTCAGCATTAGTCTGTCTCAGAAATAATTGGAGACATTTTTGCTAGACAAACTGGAGGATTTCGTAGGGAAAAGATAAGAATAAACAACTTAAATGGATTAATTTATGTCTCTTAGTATGGTGTAATCACATCCAATTACTTATGGATAGTTTTAACATTATTTTATAGTATGATTGAGTTAATAATGTTTAGGTTGTTTCTGTGACCTTGAGCCTCCATTTGTGTGTACACTTCAAATTATAGATGCCCAAACTCTTGAAATATTATCATTGAGCCTGGGTAAATTAGGGTAAGATATAATTTTTTTTCCTTTAAATGGATTAATTTACTCTTCGGGTGTGTGGTGGTTTTGTTTGGGTTTTTTTTTTTTGAATCTTTAAATTTCATTTAAAGTATTATTTCTCTTTGCATTTGTTTTTATTATAATTTTCTAGCTGGTTAGTCATCTACACAGGTATCATATTTGTAGTGTGTGATTGTATTGAATTATTAAAGTGAAGTTATTTTTAACAATTACTACAAAAGTGTGGTCTCCTTTGAGTGGATTTCTGGAGCACTCATGATTTCTCAGCTGGTGTCTGAAGGCCAAAGCCAGTTGCTCTGAGATGGAAATAGATCTATGTCTAAATCCTAAGAAATTTTAGCAGATCAGACTTGAAACTTGCAAATAGGAATTGCTTCTTCATTTAAATCTGTATGCTTTTTAACAGGATGAACTTGAAAAAAAAAGAAATGAGGTAGGGAATCCTTTAACAGCTTCCCAAGTGGTGGAAGGAATTGCTGTGTGATAGTTTCTGGCACGTTATGGTCTACATCCTCACTGTTTAAGTGTTGCTGATCAGCACCACGGATGTTGTCATAGTTTGAGAATGGAGGGGAACCAACAAATATTACAGTAAATGACCCCTCTTGTATCTGAAAACCAAGGCAAGTGGGACTCTGCTTATGGTTTTAGTAATGAAGAGACAGCCTCCAGACCAGATTTGAGAGGCATCTCTAGCATATGCCTTAACAACCCAATATCATATTGTAGCAAGAGTAGATGCCGAGCAGAAAGCCAAGATCATCACCCTGAAACACAAGGTCTCCTTGTGTCTGGTAGCACTGGTGTATGTACCTGCATGCATGGATGAGGATTGCCTTTTGCTGTTTGCTTTAAAAACCAATTGCTGGTGCAGACTGGAGCACAGCTTTTGTCTTTCCTCATTTTAAAAATACTTTGTGGGTTTTCTTAAGCTTTATTGCCATTAACTTGCTTCCTTTCCTCATTAAGAAGGCTCAGAAGCATACAGCACTCACCAATAGATCTGTTGAATAGTGAGGCAGTTCCTGAACAACAGACCGTTCCTTTTGATCAGCCTACTTTCTGAGGAATTGTTGTTGCCCTTTCTCTGCAAACCGAAGCAGATCTTGGCAGCAGACTCATTCATCGGTATGATCGGTCTTGGCTGTCGTGACTATGTCTGCCTATCAGTGTAGATCTTTTTAAGCTATCCTCTTGCTATGCTGCTTTGTGTTCTGAAGTACTTCTTTGCTTTTCCTTGGGGCAATAGCTTGTGTCTTTTGTAATAGGTTTTTTTTTTTTTTTTTTAAATAGTTTAACTTCGACACACTCCTAGAGCAGCACTCAGCAGTAACTGAGGATATATTGGATCTCAAAGTACTCACATACAGCTTATCAGTAGCACTTTTGCTGTCTACAGTGTGGGTGAAGATTTGGCCTAAAGCATTCTGGGTAACTTGTCTTTGGCTAAAGGATGTGCTCCTCTGACTTCATGGCACAGACGTGATTTCTGGTATGGTCGGTAGAAGGTAGCCTTCTTGCTTTGTAGACTCCAGAGGGAAGAGAAGGCATCAGAAAGGAGGCTGTACCATGTGTGGCAATGAATTATTCTAATGTGATTATCTGATTCCTGACTCCAGCAGTCACAATATAAACCTTGGTTGTACGTGTCTGTGATTCTGGAAAATAGTCTCAAAGTTTTTAGAATATATGCTCTTGTTTCAGGAACTGAGAAATCAATTTCTCTTCAAGGAATTAAGGGCGATGATCCATTTTTAAATGTATCAGGGCTATACTATGGGCTTTTCCAGTTTTCCGCTCCCTTTTGCAGAGTCAAGAGCATCGTTTTACTGTGTATTTAAAAACTAGGACTTGCATGCAGAAAGTACTGCCACTAACACAGAAGAATGCTATTTTCATCCCTCTGTGCTGTAATGCCTATCAAAATCCTCTCTAAGACAGTATGTTTGGTGGGATGTGGAAAATCTTATCAAGACCTTCCTTAAGTGTAAGAAATTACCTTGCCTTATTTTCATTTAGACATGATCAAATTATAACCAACAAGTTAATTGAGAATTTGGTTATCCACAGCTGCAGGTTTTTTTCACTCTGCTCACTTTTCTTCTGTCTGTGGAGCCTAGCCCAGTGTAAACTTTCTCTTTTGGGGGTATTTGAGGACTGACAATAAGGAAATGCCAAACTCATACCAAACCCATGCAGGTGAAACTGTGGTAGTATTGCTTTTTGTGTACAAATTTGCAGATACATGCAAACCAAATAAATTACTTCAGTTTAACTTTCACAATATAGATTGAGAAAGTTTGCCTTATGAGTGTACAGTAAAATGATATAAGCTAAACTATCAAAGGACAGAATTTTCCCAAAGCACTTCAACAATACTGAATACACATATTTAGCCTTTCTTCTTAAGAAGGGTACAAAGATGTTGATTTTGAATATCTTCTGAGATTTCTGAGGGGAAAATCATGCCAAACTAAGTTACTAATACCAATATTCACTTAAATGTGAAATGTCATCAAGTCTTGATTTAGAAGTTCTGCAAATATGGATGAAGAAAACAATTGTTGTCTTTCCTTTTTTTATCTTTTTTTTTTCTTTTAGTGCATGCTTACTAGCTAAGTGCCCTCCTTGTGCAGATGAACTCCTTTAAATTCTATAACAGAAATTTATTACAGGGTCAGTGATGGTGATGGGTACACAGTAATTATGCCACTTAGAACTCCCAGTATCGATTCCAGATAAGGTCAAAGGAGTACATAAAAGGAGTTTGGATGATCTGAGCAAAGATATTCCTAGCTTTTCTCGGAGTATATAATCACGAATCCTAATTATGTCCGTGCGAGCAGAGTCTTCAAAATATCTGTCTCCTGCATGTGGACATAAAGGCAGGGTGTTTGTAATCTATCCCAGTTTTATTCCTCTGCTAATTGCAGTGAAGCATGCCTACAAGATATGCCTAGCGATCAGTTTTTCTACCATTGGACAAGCTCTCCCCATACATGCTCATGAAAACTTGGACTTTGCTGATTATCCTCCACTTCTGCACATAATAGCTGAAGCAATTGTACTGCCTGCTACATTCTAGCCTTTGACCTCTGCCCTTTCTTTGGCCTGTAAGCTATTCAATGGATAAATAGATTCATTGCTGCTTAGGTGGCCATTGTATACCAAAGACAGGTATGATGAATAAATAATTTTCCTTGAGAGTTCACAGCTGTAGCATTATTGATTTGAAGAAGTGTCACTTGCCAGAGCAGCTGTCAAAAGTCTCTTTGGACCTGGAGGAATTGGGTACGAGAGTGGCTGAATGGGCAAGATGATGCAGTTCTATTAGTTGTTGCAATGAAGACAACTCTGCTGGCACTGCGGATTTGTAAAGGTAGTTGTTAGTGGAGCTTGGTATCTCACTGGAGGCAGGCATTGCACAAAGCCAAGCCCATGGCAGAAGAGAAATAGCACAAACCCGTTAATTCTAGGCCCAAATTGTGCCCTGATAACCGGGAGTAATGTATAGTAACAGAATGTGTGCCATTGAAATGCCTTACATCATCACCATTAATGTTGTTGGAGTCATTTCTGTCACATACGTACTTGAAGGAGTCTGATTCCCTGTTAGAATACAGTTTATGGGGTCGTGTTGTCATTAATCCTAGAGGAAACCTGCCCCTCTTTTTCCCTGTCACAGGAGGTGTCTCCTTGACTCTTTAGCCTGAAGCATGTCCGCCTGTCTTTGTTGTTTTGTCTGTTGCTAGACCAGACAGGTTATCCTTCAGAGCTCTGTTACAATTTCACAAGTGCTCACCTGATACTAACCTGGCAAGTTGCTGGGCAAGCTCATTGCAGTCCTCTGTGGTAGGCTTTTTCTGTAGCTCAACTGCCAGTGCTTTTGTGAGAAGGAAGATCAGACTGCTAAACAGGGCACCAGGGACCCTTGCTTATGCTCTGCTCTCCAGTAAGCAGAGCTTGTCAAAGTAAGCTTGCAGGGCTCCAATCATTCTGCATTAGTTGCCTACGTGCTAGCTCCTGGCCTGTGGCAAGTGCGAGGTGGGTTTAGGTCTGTCCTATGTTTGCGCCTTGGAGGCGCACGGAGAATTTTGGCAGATTGTTGGGGATAGTGGCAGAACTACGTCAGAGCCCGTAATGTTTGGAGGACATGGATGGACATGATCTCCCAGAGCACCGGATGGACGGAATTCAGAGATTACCCTGTCGTGACTGCCTACCCCCATTAGGTCTTCTAAAGTAAGCTTAGCTTGGTCTGTTGCCTTTTGCTGTACTGCTTTTTACCAGAATCTGCTAAATGTAAAAGTAGATCCATTGATTCCTTTACAAACCAAAGAGGAATGCAGGTTGGGGCAATCTTCTACATTTAGACCAGGGAAAAAGTTGAATGTCCCTTCTTAGCTTTGAGTGGATTGAATAAGTAAGTCATATCTGCTTCAGGTTAGGATTTGTGTCTTCATCTCCTCTTGAGCACAAGTTTTGTGGCCTTCAGCTTACAGGGTGACTACTTCTGCATAGCCATCTGTCCACCTTGCAGGAACTACCAATGACTTACTGTGAGATCCAGCCACCACAGTTGAGGATACTGCTGACAAAGCTCTGTGAGGAGATGAGAGTCTTCTCAAAACTCCCAGCACAGTAGGTGGCCATTCCATAGTCCCCAGGAGCCAGCTGGGCTGGAGTGCTGTTTATCGTGGTTCCTTACTTGCTGCGATCAACTCAGTGGGTTCGTTGACTTGTCTCTCGCTTTCCAAGGTTACGTTTAATATGTAGGGGACACGTGCATCCAGGCAGGCTGGTTTACAAAATATGCTTCATCTGTTCCTCTTCTCTTTTCAGAGGTGTCCAGCCCTTTAAAAGACCAAGTCAACTCTGCTTCTAGGTTAGTGTGTCACACAGTCTGTTTCCCTCCATTAGGATTTTGATAGCTGAACTTCCAACTGCACACCAAGATCTCTACTGAGAGATGTTGCACTTTTGCCAGGTTGAAAGGAGCGAGGGAGAGGAAGTTTGTTAAAGGCAAACAGGTTTTTTTGCAGTTTGTTTTTTAGAGGATTTTGTTCATCTGTTTGTCAAAACAGTTTAGTTTAAGATAGTTTTGCAAGTGGCCAGTGTGAAATATTTAAATTACTGATTTTCAGTTTGAGAAAATGAGAATGTCTGCTTAGCTTTGGGAATTCATGAAAACCTACTACATTTCTCTGGTTGCATGGAATTGTAAAGTTCTCAAGCTCTCCCCGTATGCTAGAAATGTGACCATCTGTTTCTTAACAGTTTGTGACCATTGCTCACGTTCACTGTTCATAGTGAACACGATCAAGTTTAGCTTCTGCTTCTGCTTTTGCCTACAGCACTGCTGTTTGTCAACAGTGCTTCTGTCTATGCTGCATCCTAACAGCGTTTCCGTCAGTCGGTTCTGGAAGTATCTGGCGCTTGACCCTTGCTGCTTCAGCATTTTGATAAGTTGCTCTGAGGCAGTACAAGAGCTAGCAGTGTGTTGGACACTGTTCCTTGGCTCATTCCACTGTTGGGATAATCCTGCTAGCTCTTGGCCTGATGTTCAACCCACAGTGTCCAAAAGGGTGAAAAAAGAGAGTTATGCCATTGCAGGCGGTTGTTGAGGAGAGAGGTTGATTGCCACATGTTGCCAGCTGCATTGTTTAAAACCTTAAAGTTTAGGGCTCTCTAGGTAACTGATGGGCGGGACTTTGTAACATAGGCTGCAACAGAACCTTAGAGGACAAACCCCAAAATTTGACTGTATCTTGTCAGTGACAAGTTAATCCTTATAAAAATGTCTCATACATTAGAAGTAGTGACTGAGTTGATTCTGACTTATTTCCTATTTTCTTAATGTTTCATTTTCCACTTTGCTTAAGGTATGTCCCAGGCACACAGTATATATCTACTGCTCTATGTAGCATTTGAATGAAGTTTAGCTTCTAAACATCACCGTCAGTATGGAAATCTTCAGCTTAAGTGTTTGTACTTTTGTGCAATAAGTCATAATTCTGTTTATAACTGTTCTGACAATGGTGGTGTTGTCTTGCTTTGTACGGAGCAAGCTAGGGAATTCAGAGGTGAGGATGCAAGGCTGACACTGACTTCCTAACATTCAGCTCCTGTTCGTCCGCTTGGCAGATAATTACTATTTTTTTAATCTTTGTGGCTGGTTTCCCTTATCCTTGTAAACCAAAGAGATACTTTTAATGTTACATTTAAAGATAACAGTTCTTTTTCATTATGCCAGTTATCAGAATTAAGAATTAAGAATTCCCAAAGCAGGACTAACTAGATTTACTGAGTTAAAAGTGAATCTATGTAAAATTTGCACAATTGCACAATTTCTTGATTTGGCTGTATTTCTGGACACAAATAATGCTAATTTTTAATCTTTCCTGTAAACTAGGCAAATGGTGGCTCGAAGTTTGCTGGACACTTTGAAGGAAGTCAGTGATGATGAGAGAGATTGTATTGCTGTGTTGGAGAGAATCAGCAGATTAGCTGATGATTCAGGTAGGTAGCATTAAATATTTTACTGGTTGACGAGGAAACGTCAAAATTGCTGAACCTGTGTTCAGCACATGACCAATACATTCTTTCTTGTCTTCAATATTCAAACTAGGGTTCTGAAAATGCAGTAAAATACTGTAAAATTTCATTTCACTAAACCTTCACCCCCCGAATTACTTTTTTCCTTAACTATTTTCCTCAACAGAATTAAGCCCCTTCAAAGTGTAGGATTGCCACTTTCCATCAGTACATTTTTGAATAACTTTTACTATGTACTTCAGCTGCTCAGCAGACCTACATGATTATTTTGGATTTGTAGGTAAAGATTAATTTCTTGCCTTGAAAAGAATCTTGAAAAACATCTGTGCAATAACTCCCGTTAGTTTTGATAGAATTTAAATGCTGAAGTTGCTCCCTTGGTCCCTTTTGGGCAAGCAGTTGTGAAGGTAAGAGAGGCAGCAGGAGTTGGTAAGCAAGGTGCAGATATAAGCAATGTAGTAGATACAGAGGGGCTTTTGCTTGTGAATATATCGAGACTCCTGGGTGTTTGGAATTAAAGGCAAAAGCAGGAGAAAAGTGAAAAACATGTGAAAGAAAAAGAGTGCTTAGAAAGTGGTGGGGGAGTCGATGAAGGGAAAAATGGTGTGGACAGAGTTCCAGTTTGAAGATGCTCTAGAAAGAATTAAGGGCTTACTTTCAACATGGCTGATACAGTTGGAGCACCAGAAGGAAGAAGGAAGGCTTTAGCAGCAAAACACAGAAGATCTTGAAGAAGTTTGTTCTTTTGTCATTGTAGGAGTGCTATGGAGAGTAACTTGTATTAAATCTTGTATGAGAAGAAAATATTTCTTCTGTATAATGTCAGTTAGGTTTTTTCCTTCTTCTGGAGTTGCAGAAGATAATGCTTTCCAAGGGTAAGAAGGTATTCTGCTTATTTCTGTTATTCCGTCATTACTGTCTTCATTTAAAATGGATGTTTTTACTTTTCTGAGGGAATGTCCTTGTTTAGCCAGGAAAAATAGCCTGTTGTAAGTATTACATAATAGGAGTACCTCTCCAAGGATTCTTTAAGAGGAAAGAGAAAAGTGTCTATTCATTTAAGATTGAATGTGTCTTTAATTGAGAACAGTGGTGTGCTACTGTCTAGAGTGCTTTCCTAGCAAAGTTCTGCCTCTGAAATCTGTAATACAGTTCTTGTTTGTTTGATCATTTTAACAGTTTTGAGCATCAGAAACTTTCTGAAGCTTCATTTCAAGTTTGGAAAATAGGACAGATGTGTCCAGGGGAAAATGGCCTTGCACAGCAGCTTTGTAGCCTTAGGCTTTTCGTTGGTGACCAACTAAGTGAATCACATTGAATTTTGTTTAGGTAGAAATGTAATGGAAGCTGGGAGTTGAGCTCAAATCAATTTGTTTCCTTTAACAAGGGTGGAGGACATTTTTAGTCAGGGTTGATACTTTCTCAGCGTCAGTAAAAGCAGCATTTCAGGCTTTTCCTGCATTGTAGAAGTTGTCTCAGATCAGCCAAACTAGTAGCGCTGGATTCTGCAGCTGCCCCACAAATCAAATTTCTGCAAACTTATTGTGCCTCGAGCAGTTGCAGTAAGAGACTTAGCCTGTTTCTGTAAGACAGGTTATTAGAATGTCCTTGTGTCTTAAACCATGTGAAAATTCATTAGGGAACTAGATCTGCTTTGTCTCTTTTTAATGTATGTGTTAGACTATTGATCAAACTGCACCACAGTATTTTTTGTTCTTTTTTTGGTTTGGGGTTTTGTTTAGTTGGGTTTTTTTGCTAAGGTTGCTATTACTAGATTTGTTTTTTACTTTTATCTCCTGCTTTTTTCCATTTACGATTTTTTTTTTCCAACTTGTTCTGTGAAATGAGAAAACTGAATTTGGAATAAGAAAATATTATAAAAGTACCTATGCGTTTTGAGTGGCTTGGTTAGAGCCATCCTGGAGTCAAGCCTTCATGTTTAAATGCATAAATGAATAAAAATAAAACCAAACTCTCGTTAAAGGAGCTGCTCCCAGTGCTGGTGGAACACGGGAACTGCTGTGCCCTGGTCTCATGTCCTGCTGTATGTAAATGGCAGCACAGAATAGCTGTTCCCGTGGAGGAAACCCATCAGTGGCAGCTGGGGAATACTCTGCTGCCTCCAACCTCATTACCTGCCAAAGAAACTTTTTCTCCAAATCTCAGATGTTTGGAAGGCTTATTTTCTTCAGTGTTTGTCTTCATTACTGTAGTTGCATGTTCCTGCAAGTCTGTGATTTTGCTCTGGGGTTTGAGTATTTTTCAGTCCTTTCAAACTCTGGACTTCCTTGCTGTCTTTGATAGTGAGTTCCCTAGAAAAGTTACAGCTGAGATACCTCTGGTCTTGCTTTGGAATCTGCTGTTTAATCACTTCGTAATTTCTCTGTTTCTTTAGGGGTGTTAGGTATGGCTTCCCGCTTACATGTTTTTATGTTGTCTTTGAACCTACAGAAGCCAAAAAGCAGCTTGGCATAGAAGCCCAGTGCTTGGCAAGTGTTAATTTATCCTCCATAAACCCTTCTTAGGGATAAAATGCTTATCTTCATGTTAAAACAGTTGGGCCTTCTTCATTCTTAGATGTAGACTAGCCACGGACTTATGTGAGCTTTAACGAGGGCCTTATGTCTGGATTTTTCACTTGAGTAAATTAGTATCATTCAAACTTTTTTTTTTTTTTGGGTACCAGCTTGTGAATGGCTTGTAGGATACAAGGCTTCATCATTGTGTGCATAAGTATGATTAACTGACTTTGAAAGTCAGCCTCAGCCAGAATTATTGCATTATTGGCTTTTTAGTCAATGTGCTTGCAAGGGGTACCAGAAGCTTTAGCTCTTATTTTCTGAGGGTTCTTTTAGAGGAGGAGTCTAGATATTAATTTCTAAACTATATGTGGTATTTTCGTGTACTGGGAAATAGATACATATAGGTATCTTTCTAAAAAAAATGATAGGGAAGAAGAAAGTGACTTCCTGGAGGACTGGTGCTTATTTGCTTGTATGTAACAGGCTAGGTTTTTTTTTCTCTAGAATTAAAAGTAGTCTTTTTACTGCAAAGAATCTGTTGTGAATGCACTTTGCAAAACAAACTGATTTTAAAAACAATTATTAGACTGATTGGTTATTAAGTTTTGAAGCTGTATAATCAGGCTTAATGTGGATGGCCTCACAACCTTAATTACTTAATAGTGTACTTAACCTATGTTAGTAAGAGCGTTTCAATTACTGGTGTTGGTGTAGTGAGAGGTGCCAACTGCCAACAGTACCCGTTGAATAGCCCGTGTTACAGCATTTCATTTAACAAAATCTTCATATGTAAGCAATATTAATGGGAATGCTAATATTGCCTTTCCCAGCTGTCAGTAGTGTTTTCTCCCCTCCCGCATCTTCATGTTTCAGGATTTTCCATACCGTTTCTCCCACCTCCTGCTACACTAAGAATTTTTCCCTTTGCTTGTTGTGATCCTCTTTTGTCTCTCTGTGCATCTGCTGGATGACTAATGATGACTCTACCCTCTCTCACTAGCCTGTATTTCATTCCTCGCTCTGCCAGTCAGTAATGAAGTCCATTTCTGGTTAGTAAGAGAAAGAACCTGACTACTGAAGCAGCACACGTCAGCCACTTTGTTCTTTCCGATGGACTCCTAAGCTGAAAGGGACGGGCTCTGGTTACTGTCTATTTTCACTTGTCTAGTTTTAATTTTGTCTTCAAAAAAGGTAGGAAAGTTGGGGGAACATATGAAACAAGAAATGAGAGAAATTGAAAGGGAAAATGTGGATGACAGTGAAGGAAAAAAGGAGGGGAAGGGAAGGTTATATTTAGGAAAGAAGGGGATAGATAAAGTTTGAGTTGATAAACTATAGAATTCATTTAAACTTTGTCTTTGATCATGCAAATGACATTCAGTTTGATAATAGACATGCATACAAATCCAGTACTATGGCCGTGCCATTGGCAGATTGGCATCTTAGTATGGTGTGGATCTTGCATTCAGGCTGAGCACAGAAAGGGGGATCAATGCGGAGGGAAGGGCATGAAGGTGTTTTCTGCGCTGCTTGTTTCTCTCTAGCACATGCAAATCAATATTTTCATTTGCCTTTCACCAAAATTTTTTTCTTAGAAGAATGAAAGTGTAAATGCAAAGCTATGCACTTACACATTTACTTTTTACTCACAGCCCTTAATAAGAGCAAATGTTAATACTATTAATATTCAGGTGTACTTAAAACACTCATCAGTTGTCAGTTAGAGCAGCATTAACATCACCAGTAGTTGTTCTTCATACGCACTTCTATAACACAAAAACCTTACAGCCCCTCACAGATGGAAGCCAGGTGACTGCTGCTTGTATTCCAGAATGGATAATGAAGGCTTTGCAGAATTTCTTCTAAATACTGTACGTTGTTGCAGAATAAGCTATTGTGAAATAAGTCTAGTTGTGAGCTAGCTCTGGAATAATAACTTCATTTACAAGTAACTGTTCTGGAGCAATTAGTTGGTATTATGCTGTGCACTGTGCAGTAATCCCTTCTTAATTTCCAGTGTAGAGCTAACTGTAGTGCTTCACTTCTTCATAGCTGAAGTGGAATATAGAGTGAACAGAAGCCTGAGCAGAGATGAAATAAACCTGACACATTTATATAGGAAAGCTAAGTGTATGTGCTAGGAGTAGCTAGGTGAATATGTTGGCACTCTGCTTATGTGAGAGGTGGTGTCAGAATATAGGGGAATTTTAAATGTTTTTTCATAGGTGAGGAAGGAACACAGTTACTTCTATGATTTTTTGAGTCAGTTTGGGATGTTGATTTAAATGTTTATTTCTGAAATAGCTAAAACTGAAGGTTGGTGTGTGCAGATCAAAGTCTACCCAGGTTTTGGAGATGTTGGTTGGAATATATGTGGTCTGGAAAACAAGAGAGGTACAACTGTGTCACTTTATTCTGGCAACTTCTTTTCAAAGTTATTTCACAAACAGAAGACATGGAAGTGTTTTCACTTTCTGTTGTTCACATAGTTTCGCTTGATTTTGAAAACTCAGTTCAGTATAGTTCTGCATCTAGAGAATACACAAGACCTGTTAGAATGAAGTGCTAATGAATGAGAAAACCGAATGTGAGTTACGAGATCTATTTTTTTTCTATTAATATTTAGTTTCTTTTTTTTTGTTTTGACAAGCTGCAGCTTTTTTTCTAGTAGCCTGCTGCTTTAAGGTGTAGACTTGTACCTTCAGGAGGTAATTTGAAAAGAGCAGTATTTAAAAATATTTCCTCTGCCAAATGGAAAAATACTGTTCCAAGCAAATGTTATGGAGAACCTAGTTGTAAACAGCAATTTTCCAGAGTGCCTAAAATAGAAACTTGCAGTCTTGATGTGAAGCAAAATTCTCCACCCAGATTTTGTTTATACTATGTGGAAGTCTGGTCCTGACTGTATTGTACAGTGCGAAAAATATACAATACAGATGTATTCCCCAGCTGGATGAGCTTATGCTTTAAGAAGCTGTGTGTGATAATACTAACCGATACTGCCATGCTCTGTTCACTCTGTTGATGACCAAACCATAAATTTGGCTATAAACAACAGAAAAGTTTAAACTGAAGTGTCAGACACTGTTATGTATTGAAGTCTGCTGGAATCTGTATTTGGAGCTGCCACCTGTCTAAGCTAAAGACAAAGCTGAGGAATGGATGAAGGGAGTGAGAAAGTGCTGTATCTTTAGTGGAAATTTTGGCATTGTTGCTCTGCTCTTTAGGAAACGTAATGCAGAAAAAGCTCTGCTGTAACCCCATCAGACTGCCAGATTAGGCTCTATTCAGTACACACTGGAACATATGCTTCAGCATTTGGAAGATTTAAGATCTTATCTAAATTGGTAAGCTTAAGGTTCAAGTTCTTACATAGCAGCAGTAATTCCCTAGAACAGCACAAATGCCTTTTTGATAGCGAATTACGGTGTTGTGTTACACAGCCAGTTACGTACGCGCTGCTCCTTTGTTGGTTTACATTGACCTTACTAAGATCGTAGAGCCATGTACTGAAAGTTAGGGAATGTAAGAACTAAGGTGACTTTACAGTTCTAACCCATTCATGAATTTTTCAAATTTTTAATTGCATAATCTCGTCTGTCTGTGTTCCTTACAAAGCCACAGCTTGGTTACTTAGCTCAGGAAGAAGGGGTTCACTTTACGTGAGCAGCTCTTCAATATTGTCAGGCGGCGTGGCCACTCTCTTAAGTGCTGCATAATAGATGAACCCTGTTCTGAAGAAAAAAGGATCTTGCGTTTTTGGTACTCATTGCTCTCTTACTAGGGTGCTTCATAAAGAAATCCATGAATTCAATTTCACAGCAAACTAGTCGATCTGGGGGAAGCGTTGGCATTATTTTACCAGTGGGCAGGCAAACTATAGAAGTATCAAAGTCAGAACAGTCTGCCTATTTTGAGTGAGTAGTGTCCAAAGCTTTATACATAGCTCTTGATACGCTTAATACAGAGCTCTGGTTGGCTTTGATTGCAGTGGTGGTATTTCTTGAGCAGTGAAGACACAGAGTTTGGATTGCAGTCAAATGAGTAGTGTGCAATTACCGTGTGAAGAGTCTGGCTCAAGTGTCTTGCACAGCTTCGCACTAGGCAAAGGAACAAATTTGGTTTCTCAGCATTTTGCTTCTTTCACTCTGTTTTGATTAAGCAGTCCCAGTGCCGTTCTTTACCATCACTTGCTTGCTTCCATCATCAGATAGTTCTGCTACTTAAGGGAGATGTGTGATTGCACAGGGAAACCAATCTTAAGTGCCAGTTCTTGCTGTTTCATCATGCTGCTGTGGTGGGGCAAAAGCTGCATCAGCCAAATCAGTTCTTTGATATGGTTTATTTGACTGCACGTACAGTTGCATTGGCATAATGGAAGCCGCAGGTTTTGAGTTTGAGAGTGTGGGAACTGCCCAAAGCAAATTCGGAAACAATTTAAGAAGCACTGCTGCCAAACATGCAGCTTCAGCCAAGTTTATCTTACTCGCTGTCCCTGCCTTCTGTGCCCCCCCATTAAGTTGTCTTCTGTCTGCTGCGAGAAGTGAGGCAGGAGTCCTAAGAAGTGAGAGCGAGATCCTAGTGACAAGTCTGTCACATAAGCCTCTTGTGCCCTTAGATCATGTCCTGGGCATGTCTTGAAATAGCAGCCTTATGGGGAGAGGTGGGAGCTAGTCCCTCCAGCCCTGGCATTGGCCCTGGTTCCAGTTTCTTGTCCAGCAAGTTCCAGTCTTGCTTCCCTTTAGTTGCAAGTCTTACCTCCCTGTCACTCACCTCTCAGCCCTCCATCCCTCCTTGCCCAACCTGGGGGTTCCTCATTTTGCTGTGTCCCATCTGCAGCCTTTTCAACAGAGTTGCTCTTGGGAGAGGGGCTGTGTACAGGCTGGCTGCGTTGTAGTGGCTTTCTCCATCTCAAAATGTGCTCAGCAAGGAAGGACTCTGCAGTTTGTAGGTGCTGTGCTCTCTGTTGGCTGCTGGGCAGGTGGAAATGGAGGGTGTTTTCAAGGCCTCTTAGTTCAGCCACCTTTGAGCAGGTTTTCACACAGCTGGAAAAAACATGTTGAGATGTAAAAGGACTCCTTTCTCTGGCACTTCAAGCCCCTCTTCCAGAAGTGAAGAAGCTAGGCCATGTCAGATAAGAGGACCATTATTCCAAATGTAGGAAGAAAATAGTTTTACCAATTTTTGTCTTGAAAACAGCTGATCTATTTTGATTTTTTTTAATTATTTTTTTTCTGTGAGAAAACCTCATCCTAATGAAGAATTGCAGCTAATCCTATCTCATGTTCTAAGGACTGCTTTGGCAAATTTTTATAAGGAAGTGAAAGAGGAGTTACCATGGCACAAAGTACAAGGTAACTTCAATATTAGGAGATGCTGCAAGCTCCAAATAGAAAGTTAGACTGAAATTAGAAGATTAGGCTGAGGATGGTAACCTTTCATTCTCTGACTACATTTTTTTAGATAAACTGCATGCATTACTATTTCCTTTCTTTGCATTAATATGGTATGTGGAATTTAGCTTTCAGAATTAACAGTCTCACTAAGTATTACGTTTGTCTTAACAGGTGCTTATTTTGGTCAAGTGTCATGGTTAGTGCTACAAACATAGTGTTCACCAAACTAGAATTTAGCCTTTTATTATCTGTTAATTTTTATTAATTCAACTGTGCTAAAACTTGCATGTAGTTTGAATACTTCTCTTCAGGATCTGACTTTGTCAATACAAACTTCATGATTTTTGTATTGCTTATGGAGTTTGACCTGCACGTGTTTCAGAACATCTGCAGTTTAAATAAAATGGCTTCTGTCCTGTGTTCCTTTTATTGTTTTGGGAAGAGAAACAGAGCAGATTGGAAGCCTTTTTTTCTTTATTGTCATCAACAGCAAACCTATTCAGTATTGATTTATCTGGGATTTAATTTTGAATTTTGAAACTTTGTCAGCAATCATAAATTTACAGAGGACTTTGGTATATTTTTCTAAAGGAAAAGCAATTGCAGTCTATAGTCAAAGAAATGGAGCCCATAGGCATTTGATTACTTTGGGGGCTATGATCTTTCCTGTTCTCATTGCCCTTAGTGATGTGAACACCTGAAAACATAGTTTGTATGTTCAGGACTGTAAAAAGCTTGTTCTGGTGGTATTTGGCAGTATGCTTGTAAACATTTATTGTGCCTTTTCTGGTTTTATTTTGCACCTGACAGAGCCAACAGTGCGGGCAGAACTGATGGAACAGGTGCCTCATATTGCTATGTTCTGTCAAGAAAACAGACCTTCAATCCCATATGCTTTTTCCAAATACTTACTGCCTATTGTGGTACGATACCTCGCAGACCAGAATAACCAGGTGAGTGTCTTTCAAATAGACATGAAATACATGCACTCTGAACTTCAATTAAAGAAAATTTCCAACGTTTTTTTCATCTAATGTGGTCTGTTCTGATTTGGGACCTTTTATCTGGTATTGTATTCTTATGGACAAAATTAAACAGTCATTTTGATAAGCTTACTAATTTAAATTCTGGCAAAAAGGAACAATAGTCATGAAAAACTGCCTCCTTGGTATAATTAAATTTCTACACCGTTATGTACCTTCATGACCAGTTATTTGTATATCGATCCAGTAAAGCTTTTGGATTGAACTTGTGTGGTTTGTTTTTCTGCCTGTATGAGTTAGTTTGTCTAAAGCTTTCTTTAGGCTTCTCCACATCGTATTTTAGGTCTCGGAGTTTGTCACTTTTTCCTTGTCCTTTCCAGATTTTCCGTAATTAAAAATAGGTTCTTCAGCCTATTTCTCTCAGTAGTTGTTTTGCTAATTCATGCATAATACAACAACCACACTTCTGGTTGATATTCTCTTACTAGCAGGTTCAGTGATTTATTTCATTGTCTTAACCTCTGTTGATACTCCGTAGTGCATTTGACTGGCTTGCTCCAAAACAAAGACCTCAGAGGTGTTACCAAAATTGCTCGTTTGCAGTACATAGTCTCTTGCTGTGTTTAACGTTTTCTGATGAAATTACTTTTTTTCAGAGGCAGGGGTTAGCCATGTATGAAGTCACTTGTTAATGGTTATCTCATTTTGTACAGTCTTTCTTTTTTTTAGATGGCAGTAAGCAAAACTGTGTCTTAGAAATTAAAATACATTTGAAGTAAACACGGTTATTCATCATCAGCTAAACTTTTTAATCTCAGAAAAAGAGGATTTGTTTCATAAAATTCACGTTCCTTGTAACTTTGTTACTGCCAATTAGTTGTGCTGCTTTTCTTTAAAGCCTGAGCTTTGCCATGGCTACTTTTTTGACATCGCTGTCATGTGTTTTAGAAAGTACATAGGTGGACACTTTTATAGCATTGCCTTAGTTTACAGTATGCAGGTGTTCTTGGGTTCAAACATAGTTTGTTTCAAAAATGAAGTGTTTGCAAAAGTGTCCTGTCACAGACTGCAATTAATATAGGGGTGTGGCAGTGTATAGGTACAGCTTCCAACATACAGGGCACATATTTAAACAAAAAACCCCAAAAAAACTCTCTTCGAATTCTTCAGTTCAATTTTTATCTCTTTATGATAGGTAAGAAAAACAAGCCAGGCAGCATTGTTAGTTCTGTTGGAGCAAGAACTCATAGAGAGATACGATGTGGAGACCAAAGTGTGCCCTGTTCTGATAGATCTGACGGCTCCAGACAGCAATGATGACGTGAAGACGGAAGCCGTGGCTGTAAGTAACAGCGATACCAAATCACACGGTATAAAGTTTGCTTGAATGCTTGGTGTTGCAGTGATGGTGATGTGATTCCAAGTTGCACATCCATGTGGTATTTGAGAGAAAAAGTAATACTACTATCCATAACCAATCTGTAACTTTTTCCATGCTGTGTTACACTCAAGTCAAGGTTAAATTTAAATTCAGCAGCTTATATGTGCTATAAAGAAAAACTCAGATGGACAAGGCAGCTCAGGGGATTAATTTTATTGATTCCTAAAGTGTCTGGTATTGTTGGCTTTTTAATTTTTTCAAGTTTGTTTGTTTTAGGGATGTTTAAATTGCATATGTGAAAAATTTCCATCAGTGGAAAATCTGTAACGCTTGAATTCTGTTGGTCTTTGAATTGCTGTATGTCTGTTCTCTTTATTGATTTTGTTTTGTTTTATTCAACAAAATAATAAGCATTTGAGTTGATTAATGCACAGTTGGTTGGTGGTTTTCTTTTTTGCATTAGACATAACCTTAATAATTAAACATTATTACATTGAATTAAATTAATAAGCAAATTAAGAAGTTAATTTGTAAAGGAGAAATGGCAGAAGGTACGTGCCCTAATTTTTCCCTTGAATTTTTGCAATTTATGTTGATGCTTTTTGCTGGGTGTTTTTTTTTTTTTTTCTTTTTCCTTGGTGGAGACTTCATTTTATGTTTTACTTTCACAATGTATCTGGACTCGTAAACAATAAGCAGGCTGGACACTATTGCATTTGGCACCAGATTTCTAATACTTTCTTGAGGAAACTACAGGTACATAAGGGAACAAAATTTAAAGCAGAACTGGTTTTACGTGTCTTCATTGTTTTGAAGATACTGAAACTTGACAAAGGTTTCTGTAGCTTGCTGACCACCTAGAGGTTAGAAAAATAATAATTTGTTGTTATAGGAAAATTAGTTTAAATGTTTCTACTGATGTGATTTGGAAAGTTAAACATAAAATTCTTTTAGATTGCCTTCTTTTTTTGAAAGTTTTATTAAAAATCAGATTGAAAGCAGTTAAAGGGAAAAGCTGTCACTTTCTTTGGTATGATGTGCTTTTTCATTAATTTTATGTTAGGGAGTTGCATATGCGCAATATGGAGTGTTGTAATTGATTTTTAAATCATACAGAAGTTGTAGAAGTCACTTAAGCATATTGTCAGTAATTTTCTGTTAATTGGAAATATATATTCGTTAAGTATTGAAATAGTGAAAACATCTTGTACTTGTTTTTTTTTATTTTTGTAAGTCTGATAAGATAGAGTGATTTCTGAGAGTTCAGTTATCTCCTTTAGTTAGGAATTTGATTTAGTTTGGTGAAAGGCCAAACTCTTCTACAGCTGTTACATCATGACAGGGGGAGGGTAAAAAGAAAAACAGTAAATGCATTTTGCAGAAGCACCAAGCCTTTTCCATTCAAAATATGGATTTTTTTTTTTTCAATATTTGACTATTTTCAATAAAATTATGTGCATCAGAATAAAAAGTAAACGTAAAAAGCCTCTGCTTAACTGACATGGAATTGTGTGTTGTGCAAGCATCCCTGATTTGTGTCTGTCTTGCCATCAGATAATGTGCAAAATGGCCTCCATGGTGGGAAAGGACATCACGGAAAGACTTGTTCTTCCTAGGTTTTGCGAGATGTGCTGTGACTGCAGAATGTTTCACGTTCGGAAGGTATGAATTAACAGCATCTGGTCTGCATTATCTGTGAAAGGAGTGTCATGAACTTGGGATTTGCATTTGACTAAATGACTTCTTCCTGCTAGATCTCATTTGTGACGTGTATAAGTGAAAGCTATGGGTTTTCTTTGTAGCTTGCATTTCCACAGATTTTATGTTTGATGCTGAGTTGGTTTTTTTCCTGAGTCACTACCTTTATTATCAGAAACAAAGAAAGAATCTGCTTGTCCTTATTGTGTAGGTAGCCACGAAAATGTGAACCAACTGTAACTGATACAGCATCAGCCACCTGAGTTCGTATCTCTGTGTGTAGATGGAATTAAAGGTGCTCATTAAGATGAAATAAACCAGTACTCCATCATGGTATTTAGGTGCTGAGGCTGTGTTTTGATTTCACTCTGCCGTTGCATAGTTTGTTTTTCTTGATACTCCTTTGATAGCACTTTGAATGCGTTTCATCCTCCTTCCCTTTCACTTAAGTTCCGGGGTGGTTCTTTCGTGATTAAAAAAGGCTGATTAAGCTTAAAATGAAAAAGACAATTTCTAGAATTTTTTTGAAGCCACGAGAACTGATGGCATGGGGAAGTAGCTGATACTGAGTTTGCACCAAAACCTGTTTTTATGGTTTTAAAAGCAGTTTTATTTTTTCCTTTGATTTTGTTTGCTGTACTAAAACTATGGTCTTAGTGGTTATTTCTTACATTTTGTCTGCAAGGTATGTGCAGCCAACTTTGGAGATATCTGCAGTGTGGTTGGGCAGCAAGCCACTGAAGAAATGCTGGTAAGACATTTCTTAAAGGATTTTTGTTTTTAATATGAGTCACTAGTGGAGCTAGACAAGGTACAGAAGAAGGGCAGCTAAAATGATTAGACAACTACTACATACCCTTAGTAAGGAGTGTCTGAAAAAGCTGTGACTCTTCAGTTTTCCTGATGTGAAGTTATGATTGGTGTTTACGACAATCTTGAAAACAGTTACTGTGAATACAGAACTCTTACTTGTCAAGTTACACAGTCTAGAGCTAAGAGGTACTCAATTCTAGAGCTGCGAGAAGAGTTTAAACTAGACTGAAGAAAATACCCTGGGCTTTGGAGGCAGAGGCTATTTGCAAGTTCAAAAATAAATTAGGCAAGGGGTAGGTAGGAATATATCTTCTAATGTTTGTAAATACAGTGAGAGATTGCAGATACAGGGGGAGTCGGGGAGAGTATAGACTGCAAGAAGTGGTGAGGCTTGTGTGGTCTTTTCAAACGACATCACTTAATGCTGCTGTTCATTGATTGGATCTTTTGAAGTTGGTTTTCCTAACAAAGCCTCACAGCCATCCTGAGTAGGAGGGAACGAGAAAGAAAAGCAGAGACAATAAATGAATCTGGGTAATAACGAATTAAGTAAAGGGAAGAGATACAAATTCAGAATGGAAAAGCAGGGAACTGCATGGAGCAGTGAGCAGAGGATCTTTAACAGTGCCCCCCATTCCCCTGATGGGTCTGAGGGGCTGGTGGATGGTGCTAGGCTTGGAGACATGACCGGGCTAGGGAGCAGAAATCAACCTGACAGTCACTGGGCTCCTTCTTCAAGCTTTCTCCTCTTGGGGATATAGACGGCAAGCTTGTTGAGGGCCTTGTGAGGAGGCTGATGAATGAATCGGTGCCATGAATTAGTGAGGGACTTAGATGGAGAGAGGGTAAATGCAGGCATGACTTCAACAAGGGGCTCTTCAGCCTTTTGCAGATGTGGTATTGGGGCAGGTAGGCCTAGTGCGACCCTTGGGGCATTTCTTATGTTCTTACTGCATTTGCTGTTTTTTTCAGTAGGTACTGTGTGATTCAAGCCACTCAGTAATGAAGTATCATTGCGCAGATTTACATCCCATATGTTTCTTAATTGAGGATGTAAATTGATGTCTCTCACACAAATGCCACCTTAGTGACTATGTCATGAATTTGGCTTAAAACTTGGTGGAGGGTGCAATTAGACTATGAAATAACAAAGTGGTGGTTATTTTATGTGAAAGCAATAAAGTGGCTAGATGGTTGGGGATCTCTTTCCATGACAAAAAATGCCATTTTCTGCTGTTGGATTTAAAAAAAAAAAAAAAAAAAAAAGTCAAAAAGCTGAATGGCTTTAGGTGGAACTTCATTTTGTAACATAAATGCTTTTTTAATCAGAAGCAAAGTCCAGAAAACTTCGCTACAGAAATTAGGAACAGCCAAACATCAGTAGTTGAAAACAGAGCTGTAGCAAGTCATTGTATTACTTGCATCTTGCCACTCTGCCTGTTGCAAGCGAAGGCAGCCATGTGATGACCTGCATGTCTTTCTTTGACTGCCTCACCTGCACTCTGTCCACCATTTCATCCTTACCATTACTGTTTCCAAAAAACCTGAGCACCTCAGCAACTTCAAAATGCTTCCGTTTTAGTAGTGAAACTATTCAAACCTGTTGCCTCTTGCACCAAATGTGTTTCTCTCATTCCCCTCTTCTTTTATGCAGTTCAGGCCCTACTTTGTAGGGTAGATGGTGACAGAGATTTGTCTAACAATGAGAAGTTTAGGTGGAAAAGAAAGGTTTTATTTCTTTCTGAAGATGCTCTTCCTCTGCATTTAAGTGAGATTCTTACAAAAATCTGAAGTGGTCTGTGATTGGTAAAACATTAATGCACCAGTATTCTTTATGTTTTTGTTCCTTTCAATGTTACTTGCTTTAAAAGAATGGTGTGGAGATGAGCTTTTGTCTTATAATAGGTTTTCTGGGTTTGAGGGTATTTTTGGAGTTGGGTTTTTTTGGATATAAATCAGGTTAGAAAGTTTACCTGTTTACCTTTTACATGTCTGAAGAATAGCAAGAATTTTCCTTATCTGTATCCATAAGTACCTGATTAAAAGGGTGGTGCTACTGAACGTGCGTTGTCTTGCAAATGTTAAACTAATGCCTTTGAGTATGAGGGCAGAGAACCAGATGAAGGAAATAAATGTGAAAAAAGAACTTGCTTTGAAACTAGTGCTGCCTGTTACGACTTGCAAACTTACTGTGTTCCTAACAGCTGCCAAGGTTTTTCCAGCTCTGCTCTGATAACGTGTGGGGAGTTCGGAAAGCCTGTGCTGAATGTTTCATGGCAGTTTCTTGTGCAACATCGCAGGAAGTCCGGAGGACAAAACTGTCAACTCTTTTTATTAATTTGATTAGTGATCCTTCACGATGGGTAAGAATTGCTTTTTGTTTCTTGAATAGCTGTCATATTTAAAGGATTTTACTGCGATACTCCATATAGAACTTCTCCCTGTAGGTGGAGATAACATAACTTGTTTCACCTCAAGCAAAGTTCTTCTCGGACTACTTAGTTTGTCAATGGGTGTGGAGAGTCCCTCACGTTTTTACTGCAGCGTGTAAGAAAAACTGTGTCAGTAGGATAGCTTTTCTTAGCTGCACGACTGTCTGTGACTTAATTGCTGAAAATCATTAACAAAACTGGAAAATTGGATGTGATTTATTTGTATATCTTCAAATTCCCTACCACCACCTCCTTTTTGGGGGCGAGTGGAGTGGGGGGGGGGTGTTTGTGTTGGTTTTGGGTTGGTTTGGGGGTGTGGGGGTTTTTTTGGTTGGTTGGTTGGTTTTGGGTTTTTGGTTGTGGATTTTTTTGGGGTTTTTTTGCCTTGATGATCTACTCTTCAGACCTTGCTAAGTGGGTTTTTTTGTTTGTTGTGGTTTGGTTTTTTTTTTTTGTATTGAGCAGACTACTTCCAAGAGCCAAAAGCAGATCTTTTGCACAGGAGCATGAGCTCTTGGATCCTGGAAAGTCGTGCAAGTTGTAGCCAGCAGAATTATCAAATAATAAAAATGGAGGTAGATAAGATAATTGTTGAGAGGGGGAGAATAAATATTAGGAGAAAGGAGGAGCAAGTGAACAACATAGCCAAATAGGAAAGGGAAAGAAATGCAGAGCTTATCATTAGTCAAACTTACGATAGTGAAACGTCTGTTTGCCGCACATAAATTTTTCTTTTCAAGGTGTTAAAAATTCTCAACTGGGCTTTCAAATTTACCTGCTTCTACTGTCTAAATAATTGTGGTTTCTTTAGTTGTGAGGAATAGGCCTGTCAAGTTAGTTACCTGTGATTTAACTGTGTTTTACCCTGCTTTTTCTTAACTTGTTTTTTTTCTTAGCACTTTGTGTACAGCTGGCTGACTCTTTCCAGACAAGAGCCTCTGCTGTTGCTTTCCTCAGCAGGCTTATGACCCTTCCAGTTCCTAGTAGCAGGCATTTATGTTTTATAGGACAATAAGATTTTTTTATATATATATATATATATTAAAAAAAAATATTTATTTTC